CTTGCAGAACTCTCTAGCATTTCTTGTGAGGCTGGTCTGATGATGATGAACTCACTCAGCTTTTGTTTATCTGGAAAAGTCTTTATTCCTCTTTCAATTCTAAAGGACAGTTTTGCTAGGTATATTATTGGTTGGCCACTTTTTTCTTTCAGTAATTTGAGTACATCATCAATATTTCATTGCATTGATATACTCTAAGTTAATATTGTTGGATATGTGACTTGTTTTCAATCTTTTGCTTTTATATAACTGCATAAATAGAACATTTTGTATGCAGGTGTCTTGATAGCGTTAATTCCTAGGAAAGGGGATTACTCTTTAGAGGATAAATACAATTATAATTTTGGAAGATTTTGCTAAATTGCTGCCAACTAGTTTATTTTTTTAAGTAAATTGTAACATTATTGGGACTTAAAATATAGCATTTAATTTCTACTTTACAAGACAAAAGGGAACAAAGAAAGGAGAACCAAAAGTCAGAGGCCCATAAAATCAGAAGGTATAGAACAATGACAAGGTAAACCCAGACATATCTGTAATCACACTAAATATTAATAGGGTTAACATTGCTGTTAAAAGCAAAGGCCCTTAGATTGGGTTTCCAAATAAAACCTAATGATACACTATTACAAGAGACACTTCCAAAATAGAGTTATACAGAAAATTGTAAAAATTGTACAAAAGTATATTAAGCAGAAGAAAACAGAATAACTAGCAGTCACAAAAGTAAAATCAGGCAAGACAGGATTTAAAGACCCTAAAAAAAGATAAAAAGACACCTATTAAAAAAAATCCACAGTAAAGTATCATCAACATGAACTGTCATTGCTAGATAAGCTATAATACATAAAAACAAAAATAGGAAAAACACAAGGAAAAATTGATAAACATAGTAGACTGGAGCACTTTTTTCTGGACAGGAGAGCTCAAGGAGAAGCAAGTTAATAAGGACACATACTAAAAGAATATAGTAAGACTTAATTATTGTAAGTATTTGAACTTTATACCCTAAAAAGAAATAATATACCTTCTTTTCAAGTATGCACAGAACATTTACCAAAAAAAGCGATTGCATATTAGGCCACAAATATACCTTATAAATTTCAAGAAACAGAAGTTGTTTGGACTGCATTTTCTGATTACAATGCACTAAAGGCACAACTCCCTTGCAAAAGGTCAAGTGATTAAAATTACCAACAAGTTGAAAATTTTAAAATTCTTTCCCAAGTGGGATGTGAATCAAAGAGGAAATCAGATGCAGTTACCAACTATGCCGAAAATCCTTTTGTCCCACAGATTTTATCCTGAACCCTCCCCTATGCTCATTCCATGCATTCCCCTCTAATCACCTCATTTAATTTCATGATTTCAATCATCATTTCTATGTTAATACTTGTATCTCTGGCTTAGACATTTCTCCTGGGTGCCAAATCCAGTCAGTTGATTTTGGATGTCATTTGGCTACCTCCGTCTGAACACACTTACAGTAATTTCTCACGTACTCCATGCAGATCTGCTCTTCCTCTGGTTTTCCCCTGTTTCAGTTAATGGCACCACCATCTGTCTGCATGTCATCCTTAAGTCCTTCTCTCCTTCACCTCCCCATGTAAAGTCAGTCACTGTGTCCTATTGGTTTTTTCCTCCTGTGTCTCTCTAGACCCACTGCTCCTGCCTCCACTGTACCACCTTGGTCTCTCACCTCAGTTGCTTTTGTAACCACCCAGCTGGTCCTCCTGACCCATGTCCCTGTCTTCCTTGTCTTACATCACATCCAGGCTGAAATTAACTAATTAATTAATTTTCTTTCTTTCTTTCTTTCTTTCTTTCTTTCTTTCTTTCTTTCTTTCTTTCAAGAGAGGGAGTGAGAGTGCAAGCAGGGAGGAGGGGCAGGAGAAGAGGGAGAGAGAGAATCTTAAGCAGGCTCCACACCCAGCATGGAGCCCAATGTGGGGCTTGATCTCACGACGCTGAGATCATGACCTGAGCCAAAATCAAGGGTCGGATGCTTAACTGACTGAGTCACTCAGGCTGATACTTCTAAAGCACCAATCAGATATTTTCAGATCGTTTAAAATAATTATTGTTTAAAATAATTACATTGTTTCCCATTTTCCTTAAAATAAATTCAACCAAATTCCTTACTATGGATAATAAATTTGCATTTGATGGACATCTTCTCGCCTCTCATCACATCCTTCCTCACTTCTCCTCCATGTACTTTAAGCTCGTCATAATAAACTTCCATGATTCCCCAAAGGCACTCTATTTTACTTTGTGTCTAAGACTTAATGCCCACTCTTCCTTGGGCCTAAAACAGTCTCCCCACCACTGCTATCCCCTTCCCTTGACATGTTCCTCCTTGTCCTAAGGTATAAGCTGAGGTGTTCCTTCATGTGGGGCTCTCCATCTCTTCAGTCTGCATTAAGTGCAGCTTCTATGTGATGGCATCCAGTGTTCACCTTTATCATAAGCCCTTATCTGCTTTTATTGCAATTACCTGTTTCCCTCAAAGCCCTACCTTAAAATTAAGTTTCTTTTTCTTTTTTTTTTAAATTAAGTTTCTTGAGGAACTTAGTTCACCATCAGATCCTTAGCCCCAGCATTGAGCATCACATAGAGTAGGCACTTCAGAAACATTTTTTGAATGAACTAATTAATGGTGATAATTGGATTGCATTTCAAAATACAAGATATATAGCCAAAGCTGTATTCAAAAGAAAATTAATAGCTTTAAATATTTTAATTTTAAAATAAGAAAATTAAAATACACTCAGTATCAACTCAGGGACTTAGAAATTTCCATGTAAGCTAGAAATAAAAGGAAATTTCTTTGATTTGACAACAACTATCAGAAACCAAAAGCAAATATCATGCTTCAGGAGGGAGCTTTAGTAATATTCCCTTTAAAGTTGGAAATAAGACAGATAAGTTTGTTGTAACTGTCCTTATTCAGCATTGTTTTAGAGACATTAGTCAATGCTATGCAATAATTAGAAATAATAGGTATAAATATTTGAAAAGAAGGGATAAAATTATCACTGTGTAGGTATGATTGTTTGCCTTTTATTTTTTAAATTTTTATGTATGTATGTATGTATTTTTTTTTTTTTTTTTTTTTAGGGAGCATGGGCATCAGGGAAAGTGCAAGGGGGGGAAGAGAGAGAAAACCTTAAGCAGGCTCCATGCCCAGTGCAGAGCCCAACACAGGGCTCGATCTCACGACTCTGAGATCATGACCTGAGCCGAAATGAAGAGTTAGATGCTTAACTGACTGAGCCATCCAGGCACATCTGGTTTTGTACCTTTGAAAAAAAAAATCAATTGAAAACTATTCAAAATACAGTTGACCTTGAATGACACAAGCTTGAACTGTCTAGGCCCACCTTTAAGTGGATTTGTTTTATAAGTACAGTCCTGTAAATGCATTTTCTCTTCCTTATGGTTTTCTTAATAACATTTTTTCTCTAGCTGACTTTAGTGTAAGAATACAGCCTATAATACATATAACACACAAAATATGTGTAGGTGACTGTTTATGCTATTGGTAAGACTTCTGTTCAACAGCAGGCTGTTAGTAGTTAAGTTTTGGGGGAGTCAAAACTTACATATGGAATTCTGACTGTGCGGGGGAGAGGAGTCGGCATGCTTAGCCCCCACATTGTTCAAGGGTCAGATGTAATGAAGTTCAGTAAGATGGCGATACAAGAGAAATGTGCAAGTATTCATAGCTTCCCAATAGTTTTATTGTTAGCAATAAACAACCATAAAATATATTTTTAAAAGTCTGCTAACTTTGGCAATAAACACTATAAGGTATGTAGGAATAAGTTTATCAAGAAATATGCAAGACCTACCTACATTGTGGTTAGGAGATCAGTTCTGGGATAAACCGTGTGGGTGTGAATCTTGGCTCCGATGTTTACTAGCTGGCAACCTGAGGAAAGTTCGACCCCTCTGTGTGTATGTGTTTGTAGAAGTGACTAGAAAGGCATATGTACATGTGATTAGCACTTGTCTGGGTATTAGGTTCCAGCCTAGTGTTGACTTGGCTGTCTTCCTCGGCTGTAAGCTGGAGCTAACCAGACCTTCGTGGGGTAGGCGTTTTGCCTACGATAAGGGGCATTGAAAATGTCGTGATGATAGCAGTGACACCTGGTTTTGGCAGAAAGCCTCACCACACCTGCACATTCTCTCCAAGCAGAGCACTGAGGGGAGAGCACGTCGCCAAAACCACTTACCTGTAGCTGGATCTCAGGATAATCTGAGGCTGCCCCAGCTCTTCAGAACCAAGAGACGTTCCTCTGAGTTTTGCATTTCATATCCCAGCAAGATGCTAAGACTTCTCAAGATCGGGGCAGGGGAGAAATTCTTTGTTTCTCATGCTCCACTCTGTGTCCAGAGGTGTTGCTTGTGGTCTCTGCACCTTGCTACATCAACCCAGACTGGAAACTCAACACTTTGTGTTCCCTGAAATTACCTTCTTTTACTAAAGTAGCAATGAACAAGTTGGTTTTTTTCCCCTAAATATTTAATACTTTTTCTGAAGGAGGGACATTTTGTTGCCCATGCGCTGCAAGTAACTTAAAGATTTGCCTTAGATAGTTCTGCTTTCCGGAGACTTCTTTGTGATAACTCGGCACTGGGCATTTCTCTCTGTCTCTGCTTCTAGCTCCTCTTTTCCAACCACTGCCCTGCTCCCCCCACTCAGCTTTGTGTTTCTTCTTTTTTTCTGATATGGAGCTACCCCACCCTCTTTGGCTCCTCTTGACTTACATACATACCCCAGGCAGGTGCATCATAGACCAAAGCCCTTTGCTTTGATGGAATCCCCTACCTGCTGTAGAGGATCTATGGAAACAGAAGTAGCCATCTGTCCTATTATATGTAATTAAGCCCATTCACTAACTTGTGGTCAGAATGCTAAATGGTATTTGTCATATGGTTCTGTGGCCCTATTCTTAAAGGAATTTGCCTTTGTCATATTTGTTTTTATTCCAAAGGTGTCCCTCAGCCTAATATAACTTGGTTGAAGAGAGGAGGATCTCTGAGTGACAATGTTTCCTTGCTTTTCAATGGATCCCTGTTGTTGCAGAATGTTTCCCTTGAACATGAAGGAACCTATGTCTGCACAGCTTCCAATGCTCTTGGAAAGGCAGTGGCAACGTCTGTACTGCACCTGCTGGGTAAGTGTCAAATTCTTCGGGTTCAAGTGCTTCTTGTAATGTGCACAAAGCAGGCCCCCGTTTTGTCGATCCTGGAGCCGAGGAGTAAACAAGATGGACATTAGATGGTTTCAACCGTGTCTTCCACATACAAACGAGCACTAAAGCTGGCATTTCGTCCTACCCAGGTCTTCTCTGAGAAGGCTGTGATTTTCTTGCTAATACTTCTCTGCCTAAGAACCTACACTGGCATATGGTCTTCTGCTCAGAATCAAGACCCTTCATGTTCTGCCTCTGTATTTGCTTATCTGCTGACCCCGATCCCCAGTCCAAGCTAGCAGTGAGCTCTGTTCTAGTGAACATGGTTTCCTGCCCTGTGATCCGACAGACTCCCCCGCCCACATGCTGTTTCCATGGAAGTATCACCTCCAGGCACCCTGCTCTCCAAAGAAGAGAAATGTTAAGGCCAACTTTTGTCTCTTACAGAAGAATTCCTCTCTCCTGTGGGAACCCCCTGGATTTCATTTGACCTCTTTTCTCTGGTCGAACCACCTGGTATCTGATTAAGTCCAAACACACATTGCTCTCCGATTGTTTCCTCTTTTACTTATGCTTCCTCAGCTAAATTGCAGGTCCTTTAATTATAGAGGCCATGTGTGATTTTTTTTTTTTTTTGCAGTCCTGAGGATATAATACAGTATAAGGCACACAGTAGGTACTCAATAAATACTAATCAATTGAGTCTTAAGACACCTTACAGTTGGGTCAGTAATGTCATTTGGAGAAGCTCATTACAGTGTGCCCCTTGGCCCAGGATGACAAGCTGCTTCTGCTGCTTCTGCTATCTGTAGGGATAATTTCTGGAGTTAACAAATTTTTGTCACCAAAATGGGCTTTAAATTGTTGAGGTTTTAGGACTCAGTAAATGATACTCCTCTTTCCCATCAGGGTTTGGAACCAATTGAGAGCTGATGACAGAAGTCAATCAGATGGACATTAGGGATAATTTGTTATTCTTCTTTATATCTCAGGCACCTAACACAGGTGTAATCAGTGTTAAATAAGTGTTTCACAAATGAATGAAATTGAGTTGTTGCCAGACCTGGTATGAGATTATTATAGAATCCACTGCGGAATCAAGAGGATGATGGAAAAGAGCCTTCTCCATGGCTTTTCTGGTCGGCAGTTAGAGATGCCCAGGGACGTGCACAGGTGGGAGATGCCAATGTGGGGAGTTAGAACAGTTGTCATGCACAAAACACTTCAGGGTTCATTAGCTCTTCTGATATTTACAAGAGCACGGGGTTGGGGCAGTCATTTTTAATCCCACTGCATGAATGAGGAGACCTAAAACTCACAGAAAGTTTTCCTGGAGCCCAAATATATAGCCTTCTCTTTGAGCGTTTTTCATACTACCCCTCCTGGACCATCAGTGCTGATCAGGAAGGCTCTGCTGTACCTCTGTGGGGCCCTTCCCAAAGAGCCCCCGTGGTCTTCTAGGATCTTGGAATGGAAGATTTTCAACTGATGGGCTTGGCCAAGCCTGTCTGATTCTTGAATGCCTTCCCCATGCTCTGAGAAGTGCCAGCCTTATTCCTTGCTTCTGCCCGTCTCCACTCCTGAAGCTGCATGGCCATCTCAGCCTCGCCCCGCACACCTCTTCTCTCAGGAGTACCTCCCACTAAGCAGCTCATGACTTTGCTTAAACTGACTGAGGAATCAAGAATGTCTTACATGACACAGTGCGCGGCCCTCTTCCACCACACTGCTCTTAGAGCTTCACGGTCTTCCTGAAAGCCCACACTCCCCACCACATGAGGTCCTCTGTGAAACCTCACTCATTCTCCAGCCGCCAAGGCTCCCGTCGAGCGGAAGAGCTCTACTGTTCTCAGCGGCCTCCTCCATCCCTTCTGGAATTTTGGTGAATCTGTTTTTTCCCATCTTATTAAGCTATAAACTCTGAAAACATGCACAGATACCACACGTTAGCAGAGTTGCTCTAACTAGACCCCTATAGCCCCCCCACACCCAAACCCACATGTAACTCCCAGATCTGTGTGAGCCTGAGCATCCAGGGCAGAGCATTTCTTTGGAAAGAGCTGACTTCCTAGTAGTTGCCTTCTTTAAGAACACCCAAGCTGGGACAGGAATTAGAGATTGTTTAACTGGAAAACAAGGGCTCCTTTTTTCTTTTTTCTTTTTTTTCTCAGAACAAAGACGTTTGGACAGTAAAAGCGTATTTCCCAAGGACTATAAAAATCATATGCTCCAGGCATCCAACGCTGGAACCAACAGCAATGACCCGACAGGAGAACCCCGACCTCCAGGTCAGAGATTCTGACTTTTTAGGGATTTGCCATTTGTGAGGCATGTGCAGGGAAAAGGATTTATTTAGCTACAAGACTCCATGTTTTGCACTTCTCAATAAGTAAAATTATTCCTAGGCATTTGGCCAGCTTTTCCCTTGCCCTTGGTCTTCTGTGGTTCAACTTGTTCCTTCCATATTGAAACATTTTTGAAAAAGAAATCACTCCTGAGGAAGCCTGCAGAGCCCATATCCCAAATGTGCATCATTATTTGTGATAAAACAGGGATTGGCTTTCCAGTTTTAAAACTATTGCCAACTTGGCAAATATTCACAGAGGGAAGATTTGCTGAGTTCTGGAACCAATTCTTTCATTTTTCTCTTTTCCTAAGTTTTTTCCCCTATACTTATTAACTTTGTTATGCATTGCTGTTTGGTCAGGAGAACCTAATCTAAGTTTTTCAAGCTAGCAAAACTCTTTAGGAGGCCAAGGGAGAGAGGTAGAGTTAAGAAAATCAGAAATGCTGGAATCACAGGGAAAAGGTACTGATGATCTCAGATTCTTGTAGCTCAGAAGTGAGTAAGTCACAGAAGGATGCAGAGAAGCTCCTATTAGATTTCATGCTTTATTATACCTCCTATACAGGAACAATACTGGCTACATCATTTCGACCTTTTAAATCTTGAGCAAATACCTCTCCTTTGCAGAACAATCCCAAAGGAAAACTCTGCAGGTAGGGATTCTAGAAATGTAGTTCCTAGGCTCCCACCTTCTCAGATGTAGGGAGAGCATAGAAGAGGAAAATAGTGTTGGGCCACCAATCAAACAGTCCAGCTCATGTTATTTATGACTTCATTCTCCGGGAGTATTTATGTATTTCTTCTCCTCTGTCAGACATAATACTACCATTATAAAATGCACTATTATCCATTCATTCAGCCTTTGTCTTAGTCTGTTTGGGCTACTATAACAAAAAGCATAGACTGGGTGGCTTAGCAACAACATACATTTATTGCTCTCAGTTCCGGAGGCTGCGAAGCCCAAGATCAGGGAACCAACAGATCAGGCGTCTGGTGAGGGCCCACTTGCTGTGTCCTCACGTGGCATAAGGAGCGAAGAAGATCCCTGGGTTCTCTTCTGTAAGGACACTAACCCCATTCATGGGGGCTCCACCCTCATGACCTCCTCACCCCCTGAGGGCCCCACCTCCTAAGACCATTTCATTGGATGTTAGGATTTGACATACGAATTTTGGAGAGACACAAACATTCAGTCTATGGCAACATCCAACAAGTGTTTGCCCAGTGCTTACTTTTGCCAGGCTGGGGGTACAGAGGTGAGCTAGCCCTTGGGAAGCTCATAGTCTCTACAGAGAGGCAGTCATGTAAACAGGTATTTTGAAGTCGGATGACAAGTGCTGGAATAGAAGGATGACCAAGTCCACTGGCAGCACTAAGGAAAGGGCTCACCTCTCTCTGGAGAAGATAACCCTGTTTTCACGTGGGCCATGATGTTTGTTCTGGGAAGAGGAAGAAGAACATTCCAGGCAGAGAAACAGATGTGCAAAGGCAGATAGGAATTCCATGTGGAAGGGAACATGAAATCAAGGAACTCCCTCAAATCAATTAATTTAAAAATTGGATATTCATGAGGCTGAAACTGCTGGAAAAGTTGAAGCCTTTGGAATATTTAAACATTTGGTTTATCAACACTACCTTTCTTGTTTGACCACCTCCTACACACACACACACACACACACACACACACACACCTGCACATACACGTGTACGCATTCTGGAATATGCCAAACCTTCAATGGATCCCTACTTTAGCATTTCAAAGAGACTCCTTTATTAACTGAACAAATACTTCTTGAGTACCTAATCTATAACATGCCCTGTCCCAGCAGTGGGCAGGACAGAAGAGCTCCCCACCCTCATGGACTTGGCATTCCAGCAGGAGAGATGGACAATAAACAAGGAAACAAACATATATTTCCCTGTGGTAAGTGCTATGAAGGAAACGAAATAGGGTGATAGCACAGTGAGTGCATGCGGCCACTTTGGAGAAGAAAGTCAGGGCAAGCCATCTAAGGAGGTGATAGTTGAGCCCAGACCTAAACAATGAGATAGAGCCATCCATGCACAAAGATGAGGAAGGAGCATTTCTGGCAGAGGGAATAGTGAGTGCAAGAACCATAAAGTGTGAACAAGCTTAATGTGGTCAAGAAACACAAAGAAAATTCATGTGATGGGGGCACCATGGGGGAGAGATGGGGGGGTATGAAATGAAGTTGGAAGGTGGCTAAGGACCATATCATTCAGAACTTTGAAGGTCAAGGTAAAGACTAGAGTTTATTCCTGTTTCCCCAGCACCATTGGTTGAAGAGACTGTCTTTTCCCCATTGTATATTCTGGTTTCCTTTGTCATAAGATAATTGACCATATAAGCATGGATTTATTTCTGGGTTTTCTGTTCCGTTCTGTTGATCCAGCTGTCTGTTTTTGTGCCAGGATTATACAATACAAAGAATGAAACTCGACCACGTTCTTATACTGTACACAAAAATGAACTCAAAATGTATTAAAGACCTAATTGTGAAACCTGAAACCATAAAAATCCTAGAAGAGAGCACAGGCAGTTGTCTCTCTGACACTGCCTGTAGAAACATTTTTCTAGATATGTATCCTCGGGCAAGGGAAACAAAAGCAAAAATAAACTATTAGGACTACATCAAAATGAAAAGCATCTGCACAGTGAAGGAAACAATCAACAAAACAAAAAGACAACCTACTGAATGGGAGAAGATATTCGCAGATGACATATCTGATAAAGGGTTAATATGCAAAATATATAAAGAACTTACACAACTCAGCACCAAAATAACAACCTGATTAAAATGGGCAGAGGACCTGAGCAGACATTTTTCCAAGGAAGACATACAGATGGCCAATAGACACATGAAAAGATTCTCAACATCACTCATCATTAGGGAAATGGAAACCACAATGAGGTATCACTGCACACCTGTCAGAATGGCTAGAATCAAAAAGACATGAAATAGCAAGTATTGGCGAGGATGTGGAGAAAAAGAAACTTTTGTGTACTATTGGTGGGAATATTGGTAAATTGGTACAGCCACTATGGAAAACACTATGGAGGTTCCTCAAAAACTTTAAAAATAGAACTACCATATGGTCCAGTAATTCCATTATTGGGTATTCATCCAAAGAAAATGAAAATACCGTTTGAAAAGAAATATGCACCTCTATGTTTATACCAGCATTATTTACAATAGCCGGGATATGGAAGCAACCCAAGTGTCCATCAATAGATGAATGGATAAAGAAGATGTGATACACACACACAGAAACACACACACACAATGGAATATTACTCAGCCATAAAAAAGAATGAAATCTCGCCATTTGCAACAGCGTGGATGGACCTAGAGGGTATAATGCTAAGTAAAATAAGTCAGATAGAGAAAGACAAATACCATATGATCTCACACACATATGTAATTCAAGGAACAAATTAACAAAAAAAGAAAAAAGATAAAAAAAAAAAAAACACACTCTTAAATACAGAGAGCAAATGGATGGTTACCCATAGGCTGGGAAGAAGATTGGCTGAACATATGTCTGTTGAGGAACTTATATCTAGAATATATAAAGAACTCCTACAAGTCAACAACGAACTCTCCCCTCCCCCCCAACAAAACAGGCAAAACACTTGCACAGACGGTTCACAAAAGAAGATATACAGATGGCATCAGGGAAATGACAATTAAACCCACAAAGAGATATGATTCCACACTTACTAGAATGGTGAAAACTAAGACTGACAATGCCAGATTTGGTTAAGGATGTGAAGCTACTGGAACTCATATTCATTGGTGGTAAGAGTGTAATCTGGTACAACCACTCTGGAAAACTGTGTGGTAGTTTCTAAGAAGGCTAAGCATGCACCTACCTTTGACCCAGCAATTCCACTCACAGGTATTTACCCAAGAAAAGTGAAAACTTGTTCACAAAAATATTTGTATAAGAATGTTCACAGCAGCCTTCACTTCCTAATGGCCACCAAAAGGAGAATAGATGAACTATGGTATATTCATATAATGGAATATTATTCAGCAATAAAAGAGAATGGGCTATGCACAGCAATACCGGTGAATCTCAAAAATGTTATGTGAAGCAAGTGCAAAGGAGTACATGAATGAAAGCCAAGAGCAGGTGACACTAATCATGGGTACTGATGGAAATGAACAAGGAATTGCCTGGGTGGGGAAGGGGAATTGATTAAAATAATTGATTAAAATAATTTAATTAAAGATTAAAGTTGATCTTTAATTAGATTAGGAGGAAACTTTTTTCGGAGATGAAGTGTTTTATATCTTGCTGTGGATCATGGTTGCAAAAGTACATACAAGTGTGAAAACTCATAAAACTGCACACCGGATTTCTGAGCATTTTATCGTATGTGAATGACACCTCAGTTAAAACAAAAACCACACATGTTTTTAAAGAAATGTATATGTTTTCTGCCTTGGAGTGTCAAGGTGTCTTTGTGAAGTATGGCATAGTAGAAGGAGTTAGATGTGGAGTTTGACAGTCTTGGGTTCTAGATGAAGGACCTTGAGCAAGTCACTTAGCTTTTTCCCACTTCTGCAAATAAAACTGGTCTAATTCACAGGATGGCCATAAGGATTAGGGGAAAAGCTGATGGCCAAGTATCTAAAATTCAGTACCCCTCACCTGGGAAGTTCTCCATAAACCCAGCTATTTTAAAAAATTGTTTCAAATAAACTGTAATCCTGGGGGCCCAACTAAAAATATGTACAGTTCTACTTTGCAGAGGATGCCATATGCAACTTAAGACAAAAATTCAAAAATCAGAAGGAAAATCTGGAAAACAATAAGTTAAAGACATTGCTCTGCTCTGTGAGGGAATCTGTGGACACAGCTGGTAGCTATCAATTACTTGTGATTGTGACGGGAAAATCTGGCACCTTCTGTGGTCACACACAAATCTGTCATCATTGTATTGTACCTCAGCTTTTTACCAAGTGTCAAAAAGGAAGGGAAGGGCTGTTTGGAATGAAGACTAAAATTAAAAAGCCATAATTACTGGAGGTGGTCAGCTTCAACTTTGCTAAAGGAAACTCTCATTTTTACCCTTCCAGATGTCTCCGTGACAAATTATTTATGCAGTTCCAGGAGTAAGCTGAAGTTTAGATAAGAATTAATGGAAAAGTAAGAATGGAATGAAATTCATTTTTAACCTGACTGCTTAATCCCCGGTCCCTGCTAAATGGTCTTTCATTTCTCCGCCTGGCCCACATTTGAGAAATAGAACCGGTGAGAATGTCCCCGGGAGACATCCTCCTCTCTCGTCCTCTTGGCTCTGCTCGGAGAATGCCGAGGAGCCAGCCCTCTGCACGGAGCACCTCCTCCCTCTTTCTGGGATTTTTCTGGCAAGTCCAGCTGGCCTCCAATAGCACCTCTCCCAGGCTGTGGTCCAAGGGCCCCAAGCTGGCCACCATTCCTACCAGTGAGGACAATAAGTCAGTGGAGGAAACATGAAATGTAAAGGAGGCCTTCCACTAGGTGACAGCGTACTCTCCGAGTGCTTCTCAAAGAAGCAGATGGGCAGCCAACCAGAAAACAGCTCCTGGTGGTCTGTGGCCATGTCCCTTCCAGCCCCATCATCATATCTCATTCAGGGCTGTCATGACATTTCATTTCCTTTCTGCAGAGCCTTTTTGGGAGCTCGGTAACTGGACGCATTGTTCTGCCACCTGCGGCCACTTGGGAGCCCGAGTCCAGAGACCCCGGTGTGTGATGGCCAATGGGCAGGAAGTGAGTGAGGCCCTTTGCCAAAACCTCCCGAAGCCGCTGGCTGGGTTTCAGCCCTGTAACATCCGGGACTGCCCCTCAAGGTATGTGTAGTCACTCTTCGTATCAGTGCCAGGTTTTTGCTTGGGTTAGAAGGCATGGTAATTTGGATTTCCCAGTGCAATCACTGTGATGTGTTTAGCGTGTACTCTGCACGGGCATTCTGCTAAGCGCTTATGTGGACCACTTCACCATCACCTTGGAGGTACATGTTGTTAGCTTCCTATTTCACAGGTGGGAAAGCACCCTGAAGCCACCCAGTTACAAGGGCCAGAATTCAAATCAAGATGATCTGTGTTCAGAGCCTCCACTCTTGACCGCTGCCCGCATCTGTTTCCTACACTCACGGGGCTATCTGGTCCTTAGTAGAGCTGGTCCTGTGGGTTTGCCTCGAGATAGCGCAGTGGGCCAGCATCACTGGAGGTCCTGTTCAAAATGCCATTCCTTAGATTCCACCCCAGAGGTCAAAACCATTCATAACCTTTCTAGGTAATAGATAGAAATCAATAATTTAAAAATGTCCAAAATCAAACCCATGATCTCCACCAAACCTGGTCCGTCCCCAGGCCTCCAGATCCAGTGACCGCATCCCAGACGCCCCTGTTTCTCTCACTTCCATCCGTTCCTGTCCAGTTCCTCCGTTCCCCCGGGAGCTCACGCCATCAGGTTCCTCATGTGGATGGCTCCAGGCTCCTCCTGATTCCTGTCTCCCTCCCTAGAGTGCTCGTCCCATGTGTAAACAGAATCGTCTTTAAAGCACAAATTCACCGAGATGCCTCTTTGTTTAAAACCCTTCAAACACTTCTCGTGGTTCTTAGGACAAAAGCCAAAAATCCCTAGCACTGGGAGCATGTCTGTCTCACTCATTTTGTTCACCCTGGTGTCTAAACCAATGCCTAACACACACTAGTGCTCAGTGAGTATTTGCTGCCTGACTGAATACTGGAGCGAGAGAACAGAAGTCCCTCCGTGCTTGTGCCGCAGGCTGCCGTTCTGTCCCAGCCTGGTTATCTGATCTCCACTCCATGCTGTCTTTTTGTCTCTGAGATGTGTCTTTCTCCCAGCTCAGAGCCTTTGCACACACTGTTCCCTCTGCCTAGAACACTGTTCCCTCTCTTTCCACTTAGTTATTTCTGTTCATTTCTTTTCAGGGAAACCATCCCTAACCTTCTCCTCCAAGCTCAGCCAGGCCCCTGTGCTGTATGTGTTTCATATTTTGTTATCATTCGTGTTCATAGCTCTTACCATGGTCTGTCTCACACTAGACTGTCCAGCCCAGGAGGGTAAATCCACAGCTGTTTGCAGAACACTTTATTCCCAGCACTTAGCACAATGTCTGCCCCCATTATGCACCCTCCACAGATATGTGTGGAGTGAACGAATGAATGATTGAATCACAGAATCCCTAGCAGGTAACTGACCAAATGGCACCATAATCCCCAGTAAAAGAAAAGAAAATAAAAATAATAATAACAGTAGCATTTCTGGAGCACGACTGTGAGATGGATACTTCATTAGAGAGTTCGCTGCCCTCGCTCAAATGCCCACACTAATCTGCTGATCTGGGCCTTGGAGAGGAGTGGGAGACAGGGTCACACTGGCAAACAAAGCAGATACCTGGGAGCATGTTCTCGCAGGGCTGTGGCCGTCGGTGGCTGACGTGTCTCTCGGTACCCATCCTGTGCTTCGGAGGAAGGTCTTGCGCTGAGTCATCTGTCCCTCAAGAAGCAGTGAAATGATGCTACAGTAACTGGGGGGAGTTGGTTATGCCAATTCTTGATTCTTACAAAATGGAAACAAATGTATCAGCCGCCGTGTTTATTACATATTCTCCAGCTGTGCACGTGCCTAGGATAAGCGGCCATCTACTTTCACACCTACAAGAGACACCTTGAGGTCTTGTAACCCTAGGGCTCTTGCACTGAGGGTCCTTCATCTCTGTATGCTGTGGATGCCTCTGGTTGTCTGGAGAAGCCTGGGGATCCCTTCTCAGGATGAGGGTTTTAAATCTGTAAAATAGGGCGCCTGGGTGGCTCAGTTGGTTAAGCGACTGCCTTCGGCTCAGGTCATGATCCTGGAGTCCCAGGATCGAGTCCCGCATCGGGCTTCCTGCTCAGCAGGGAGTCTGCATCTCCCTCTGACCCTCTTCCCTCTCGTGCTTTCTATCTCTCATTCTCTCTCTCTCTGAAATAAATAAATAAAATCTTTAAAAAAAATAAAAATAAAATAAATTAAATCTGTAAAATAGAATACATTCGATCATGAAACCAGTAACACTGAAATACAGCATCATCATTTGAAAAATGATGATACGGTAATAGATTTGCCTCTCTGCTAATACACTAATATCGAGCAGTACATTAATTTTGAAGTGGTGATAAATATAAATAACTTTTTGAGATGCCTGCCACAATTGTAAGGTCATGTAAAAATATCTACGGTTTCCATTGGTAACAAAATCACAGACAGTGCTAATACTACTGTATTTTGTGGCTGACATGTTTATAACTAAAGGAACACTACGTTTCACTTGTAGCTCAGGGACAACGAAGAGGTAATTCTTTGCCCGTCCAGGTCTGCGGTCTCTTGGAGCACCCTAGAGCTCAGGTTAGGAGCCCCTGCTCGGTAGGATCCCAGCAGAGCTTGAACATCCTCCGTGATAGAGCACTCAGTATCCCAAAGGTGTCCAGCTCCAAGTGTTCTCTGTCTTGAAAGTGGGAACTTAGGGTCAGATAAACCCAGTATCCACCCCAGCTCTGTTGGCTTGTGGTTATGTGACCGTAACCGACATATTTACCCCTTTGGACATTGGTTTCTTCCCTACAAAGAATGGGAATAACATGTAAATATCTCCCAGAGCAAATAGCACATAGGTGCTTTATTATTTTTTTTAAAGATTTATTTATTTGAGAGAGAGAGAGAGTGAGATAGAGCCCAAGAAGGGGCAGGGTCAGAGGGAGAAGCAGACTCCCCGCTGAGCAGGGAGCCCAATGTGGGACTCGATCCCGGGACTCCAGGATCATGACCTGAGCCGAAGGCAGTCGCTTAACCAACTGAGCCACCCAGGCGCCCACATAGGTGCTTTAAAAATATTTTCTTCCCTTTGGTTTCAGTGAGCTGCAATCCACCTTTTTGAAATTTCCACCTAATTTTCCCCTAGCTGTGCTCTCTGGGGCCCCGCGAGTGCCAGCTCTCATATCCTTGCAGATGGCCCGACCCCACCCCTGTGTTCCTTGTCTCTCCCTGATAATTCTGTCACTCCCCTGAACAAAAAGGAAATCTGAGAAGAGAGCCTGGAGTTTTGGCGCTGCAGTTCATTCCCCTCGAGACATGTGACGGCCCCCAGACGGACACAATGTTAGGATCGATGTTCAAGACACTCCCTGCAGGGGCCGACATTCCAGTCCTCACTAAGCTGCTGTAGTTTTTATTCCCAGGTGGTTCACGAGCGCGTGGTCTGAGTGCTCTGTGTCTTGCGGTGAAGGGTTCCACAGTCGGCAAGTGACCTGCAAACGCGCCAAAGCCAACGGCACCATGCAGGTGATGTCTCCAAGAGCGTGTGCTCCCAGAGAGAGGCCTCCGGGAAGAAGGCCGTGTTCCAGTCATCCTTGTGGCCAGTGGGTCGTTGAGCCAGGGGGCCAGGTACAGTGGACAAATCTAGTGCTTTGACAGTAATGTAATCATACGTGTTTTTTTTTTTTTTTTTTAATTTTGGGGGAAACATCTGATTGATCTCTGAAGCGAATGGATGTGTCTGACCTCAAGGATTAGATTTGGAAATCACGGTGTCTCTGTCTTCCAATATAAAGGTGAACCAGAGTTGGATTCTTTGAATAGAGTAGCTCAGTGATGGAAGTTCCAAGATTGGCTGGTCTGGGGCAGAAGGAGTAAGACCAGACTTTGAGAAAAGGAGCAGAAGACCATTAGTAATTATGGGCACAAAAGTCTCGTAGCCCGTATCCCAAAGGCCACCTTGAACAACATTATAAATAAAAAATATTTGGGAAAAAACAGTTTAAAGAAATGTCTAGGAACCTAATTAGTCAACTAGGGCTGCCCCATAACAAAATACCACAGACTGGGTGCCGCGGAGAGCAAGTTTATTTTCTCACAATTCTGGAGGCTGGAAGTCCAAGGTCAAGGCTCTGTCAGGGTTGGTTTTGTAAGACCTCACTTTCCCTCTTAAAGACAGCTGCCTTCTCACTGGGTCCTCACATGGGCTCTTCTCTGTGCAGAGAGAGAGATTGAGAGAGAGAGAGAGAGAGAGACTTCTGGTGTCTCTTCCTCTTCTTGTAAGGACACTATTCCTAGCAGCTTAAGGCCCCACCCTTATGACTTCATTTCACTGTTAATACCTCCTTATAGAACCTGTCCCCAAATACAGTCACACTGGGGGTTAGGGCTACCACATACAAATTTTGAGGGGACACAGTTCGGTCCATAACATTCCGCCCTCTGCCCCCCTCCCCTAAATTCATGTCCTTCTTGTATACAAAGTACATTCATCCCATCCCAATATCCTTAGTCTTGGCCCATTCTGTCCTCAATTCAAATCCAAAGTCTCACCACATGTCATCTAAATTAGGAATGGGTAAGAAGTGAGCCGTCCTGATGCAGAATTCCTCTCCCTGTGAACCTGTGAAGGCAGACAAGTTACATACTTCCAAAATACAGTGATGTGACAAGCAGAGGACAGACGTTCCCTTTCCAAACCAGAGAAATCAGAAGAGGAAACGGGCGGTGGGTCCCAGTCAAGTCCAAAATCTAGCAGGACTAATTCCATTAGATCCTAACACTTGGAGAATAATCGTCTTTGGCTTGACACTCTGCCCTCCAGACCCACCAGGGCAGCGGCTTGCCCCCATGGCCCTAGACAGCAGGCTTTCCCACGTGGCTCTTTGGAGTGGTCCTGCCCCTGAAGCACCAGGCAGGGGCAGCGGGGCCCACAGAAATCAAGGAAACATCCTCCCCCTCCCCCAGGGCCTGTCCTGGGAGTGGCATCCCTGGTGAGCTCTGAATCTGGGGTCGTTCTTCCCCCTTCCTGAAGGATAAAGCATGTTTGCAGCTGAATGGCTTTATCCCATCCTGTAGAATCCACAGTTTCTAAAGCCTTCCTTAACTGGGTCCCTTCATTGTCTCTCCTGGTACAATCCTGTCTCTGTTCCTGGCTTCTGCTGGGATGGCTGATTAACTCCATGGGGAATCTCCTTATGGAGTGATTGTCCAGCCATGCCGTTCGTGTTCCTTCCAGAACATACTTTCTCATTCTTTGAAATATGGATGGACTGAGAATTTTCCGAATCCTCCAGTTAGGATTCCTTTTTGTTTAATGATTCCTTCAGTTTATCTGTCCACTCACATTCTGCTGGAAGCACTAAGGGGAAGCTAGGTGGTACCCTGAACACTCGGCTCAGAAATGTCCCCAGTGAAATACGCAGTTTCATCACTTGCAAGTTCTATCACCCACAAAACACTAGAACACAGTTCGGCCAAGTTTTTGCCATTTTATTTTTTTTAAGATTTATTTATTTATTAGAGAGAGAAAGCGTGAGTGGGGCAAGGAGAGCAGAGGGAGAGGGAATCTCAAACAGACTCCCCAGTGAGCACAGAGCCCAACTTGGGGCTCGATCTCATGACCCGGAGATCATGATCTGAGCTGAAACCAAGAGTTGGAAGCTCAACCGACTGAGCCACCCAAGTGCCCCAAGTTTTTGCCATTTGAGAATGACGATCGCCTTTCCTTCAGTTCCCAGTAAGCGTGTTCCTTACTTCCACCTGAAACCTCATCAGAGTCCTCTTAAATGTTCGCATTTCTAACAACGCGCCCTTCAAGGTAGTCTAGCTTTTCCTGGCATGTACCTCAAAACTCTTCCAACCTCTACCCATCACCCCGTTCCAGAGCCACAGTTTTAGATATTTGTTATAGTAGCACCCCTTTCTCAGGACCAAAATCTATATATCTGCATTAGCCAGGGTCCTCCAGGGAAACAGAACCAAATAGGGTGTGGGGTGTGTGTGTGTGTGTGTGTGTGCATGAGTTAATGAGTTAATGCAGTGATGGAGGTTGACAAGTCCCAAGAGCTGCAGGGTGAGTCAGGAAACTGGAAGATCCAGGACGGCTGAGTGTGTCATTCCAGCTCAGAAGCCAACAGGCTACAGACCCAGGAAGAGCCAGTGTTTCAGTTCAAGCCCAAAAGCAGGAAAAAGCCAATATCCCAGTTCAAAGACAGTCAGTCAGGAGGAATTCCCTTTTACTTGGGGAGGACTTCCGTCTTCCTTTTGGGGGGCCTATTCAGCCCATCAACTGATTGGGTGAGGCCCACCCACATTAGAGGGAACAATCTGCTTTCCCTCGAGTACTGATTTAAATGTTAATCTCTTCCAGAAACATCCTCCCAGAAGCACTTGGAATACTGCTTGGCCAAATATCTGGGCACACCATGGCCTAGCCAAGCTGACACATAAAATTAACCAAAACAGAACCCGTAAAACAGAAATAGAACACATTGTTGAAACACGTAAAGGAAAAAGTAGGACAAATAAAGGTACTCTCCGTGCTGTAAAGATGTCTGCTTCCCTAAATGAACTGAAACACGTAACAGAATTCCAACAAAGACTGCAGTAGAATTCTTTTTTTGGAACTTAAGGTAATTCTGAGATTCATATGGGAGAACAGATGAACACGGGAAATTTTTAGGAGAGACAACTTTTAGACAGACCTTCTTTAGCTGGTGTTATCTGAGGTAAGTAAAAAAATACAGTGTTAGTGCAGGGGTAGCCCTGAGTCATGCGGTGAAATGAGAGGACAGACCCGTGTTAAGTGGGTTTAAAGTTCAATGGTAATTAACCGTAACAGAAGAATGGTTTAAAAAAACAGTGTTAAACTACAATAGGTTTTTTAAGGAAATTAGAGAAGGTCTAAATGAATGGAAAGACATCCCATATTTATGGATCAGAACACTTAACGTTAAGCTGATCACGCTTTCCTAATTGATCTATAGATTCAACACAATCCCCGTAAAAATCCTAGCTGGATTCTCTGCAGAAACTGACAAGCTGGTCCTAAAGTTCATATGGAAATATAAAGGACCCAGAATAACCAAATCAGTCTTGAAAAAAGAACAAGGTTGGAGGACTCCAACTTGTTGGTTTCCAAACTTACTACAGAGCTGCAGTAACTAAGACAGCGTGGTGCTGAAAGGGGGTAGACATATAGGTCGCTGGAATAGAATTTAAGGTCCAGAGAGAAATTTCTAGATCTGTGTCAGTTGGTTTCATACAAGGGTGAGAAGACCACTCATTGGAGAAAGAATAATCTCTTTGACAAATGGTGCCGGACAACTGGATATCCACACACACAGAAAAATGGAGTTGGACCCTAGCTTAGGCCATATGCAAAAAATTAACTCAAAGTGGATCAAAGACCTAAATTTAAGAGCTAAAACTATAAAGCTCTTGGAAGAAATGTAGACATAAATCGTCATGCCTCAGGTTAGGAAATGGTTTTTTAGATATGACACCAAAAACACAAGCTACAACAACAACAGATACATTGGGCAATGTAAAAATTAAAAAAAGCTTCTGTGCTACAAAGGACGTGACCAGGAAGGTGAATGAAGATAGAACCAGTGTGATGGGAAAGGCCTTTTCAAGCATTAAACAGAGTATAAGGAAAAATTAGTATGTATTATGACTACATGAAAATATAAGAACCCCATGTCAGAAAAAAATTCTTTTCTATAATTGAACTCACCTTAACTCCCAGGCCTCCACTTTTGCTCAGAGCAGGAAAACCCAAAGTTGGCAGTTGCTTATGGTTTTAAGCAATGTCGTTTCTGGACCGAAGCCCCGTCAGTTACAGACTGGCGCCGTTCTTTTCCCTTCTCCCCAGAGATGGTCTAAGTTTCGGGGGGGGGGGGGGGGGAGGAGGAGGAGGAAGATGCTCAGGTATCTTCCTGGCTCTGAGGGAGGGCTGTCTGTCGTCAGAGCCGCACTCCCATCCTCCCTGACTTCCCCTGGGGACCACCGGCAGCCCCCCACAGTGCATGACCTTGGTACCGCAGCACCCGCAAGCTCACAGGTTGTTTATGCCGCTTTGTGCTTCTGTTCCAGTGTCCGGCTCGTTGCCTGGGTCGCACTGGGAGGATGCAGCTGCAGCATGCAGTTTGCCAACATCACAACAGCTCTGACCCCCGCTGCGATGACAGAAGGAGGTACTGACTCGGTCCAGAACCCTCTCTTGCCTCAGTCGGGGGCTGCCTGAAAACGGAATGACTTCTCCTGTCCCCTGCCTTTCACAACTGACAGTTCCTATCCAATGATTTCTTATAGTACCATCCTCGACAGTATACATTGTACTGAAATATTAATTAATATGCACTATTATAATTACAAATTATTTGGACATTTAACATATTTAGAGAGGGACACCCCAAAGAGTAGCACTGAGGACAGATATTTTTCCCTCTATATACAAAGCTGGTCAAGCCTAATGATATTTAAGTTTTCAGATTAAATCTTCCTAATGTTTTCAGTGGATTGCTGTATTCCTCTGTCTAGAAACTGTGTGTGTTTTTTTTTTAAGATTTTATTTATTTACTTGAGAGAGAGAGAGAGCATAGAAGGAGAGGGAGAAGCAAACTCGCTGCGGAGCAGGGAGCCTGATGCGGGGCTCGATCCCAGGACCCTGGGATCATGACCAGAGCTGAAGGCAGACGCTCGACAACTGAGTCCCCCAGGCACCCCTAGAAACAAGCTTTTACCTTGCAAAGGGGCTTAAACTCAAAAAGAGTTTGCTTTTCTCTTGTGTACGAGTCAGTGCTGGTGCTTGGTGTGGGGTAGAGGAGCATTGTTCCATGAGGTCACCCTGAGACCCGGGCTCCTTCTGCCTGGCGACTCCACCATCCCAGAGGAGCGCGCCCCAGCCAGCGGAACGTGGGGAGAGAGCCAGAAAGCACACTAATGAGGGAATGTGGAATTCTCCCACACTCTTCCTGTGTGACCCAGGCTAGCCAGCCCCCTGATCTGCAAAACGGGGTATTACCGTCCACATAAAATTGTGGTTGGGAGCTTTCGAGTAGTTGGCTTAGTGTGAAAGCACCTAAGCAACCTGGGTCATAGAAGATGTTCGAAATATGGCTCCCTTTCCCTCTTCCCCACCCCGAGTGTTGCCAGAGAAAATGAGATGACCTTGACAGTTGGCTCAGTTTCCATTTTGAGCCTTCAGTAGGGTTTGGCAATGTAGAATCTTCTGTGTTTCCTATTCCCCACAACACAACTCAAGCCAGAACTATTTTCCTCAAGTGGAAAATGGAACTGCTGCCCTCCTTCTCAACAGACAACCTAGTTTTGTCTTTTGCTGAGAAGATAGAGACCACACACAGACTGATACGGATCACCCCAGATGTTTCACTTTGCATTCTCAAAGATAGACTTCCGACGCAAATGCGTATGTGGACTGAGCCTTCTTTTTTAACATACCTGATGTACTTTTCCAAAACTTGCTTTTTGTCCTTATCAATACATTATAGACTTTTTCCCCATCTTCGTACCTAAGATTCACTTTGCTCTTTTTCATTGTTGTATTTAACATTATTACCTCATTCCATTGCTGATGGACATTTAACCTTTTCACGAACATTATATGGGTTTTCGGTCTTTAAAAATTCTGCCCATCTGCTGTGTGAAAAATTATGTCCTATTGTAATTTGTACTTGTCTGATTACTTTTTTTTTTAGAGAGAGTGAGAAAGACAGGGAGCACATGCACGTGCTCGCAAGCAGAGGGGAGGGGCAGAGACAGCGGGTGAGAGAGAATATTAAGCAGATTCCCCACTCAGCGTGGAGCCCAGCACAGGGCTCAGTCTCACGGCCCTGACATCATGACCTGAGCCCAAATCAAGAGTCAGACGCTCAACCGACTGAGCCACCCAGGGGCCCCTCTTCCCTCCCTTCACAGCCGCATCCCAAACCTCATACCCCCTCACTCTTGGCGTTCCAGCCACGGTGTGCTTCCTTCAGGACCCACACTGGACGTGCCACGTGCTTTCTAACCACTGGCAGTGAGAACAAGAAGCAGAAATGTAGTGGAGAGGAGAGAAGCATGGAAGGATCTATCAGGAGGCTCAGTAGATGGCCAAATGGGGCTTTAGAGAAAGAGATGTGGGGGCGTCTGGGTGGCTCAGCTTGTTAAGCCTCTGCCTTCGGCTCAGGTCATGATCCCAGGGTCCTGGGATCGAGCCCCGCATTGGGCTCCCTGCTCAGCGGGGAGCCTGCTTCTCCCTCTGCCTCTGCCCCTCCCCCCCGCTTGTGTTCAAGCTCTCGCTCAAATAAATAAATAAAATCTTTAAAAAAAAGAAAAGGAGATGAACTGAAAACATCGAAATGTTTAAAAGAAATAGAAGAAGAAAGATTCCCTGGGAGGGGCCTGGGGGGCGTGGAAGAGTGACGGAGGGGGTGTGAATTAGCCGAGGAGCACAGCGCACATACAACTCGGGGCCCCGAGGCAGCGCTTCCAGACGCAGGGAGTTTGCTTCCAAAGCGGTGATTCCTCAGAATTTTCTGGGACGTTTCTTTACAATAAGGATTCTCGGGCCTTGCCTGGGACTGCATGAACGGGAATCTCTGGGAGTGGAGCCTGGCCATCTGCATCTCTTTAAAGCTGCCGGGCCCTTGGGATGACGGTCAGGCTCGGAATCTGTCCGCTGGAGTCCGTGGTTGCATCTGGCTGACGGGGAAAGGGGTGCTCTGAGGTAGGAGAGGAGCTCGACTGAACAGCGATGAGACATCGGCGAAGACTAGTAGAAACGGGGACTTTGCGCTTCTTGGCACCATATCCGCTCTCATGTTTTAGATGGGAGAGCGTGTGAGCCACGCACGCACATGTGTGCATAGGGCCAGCGTCCAGACTGTGCCCCCTAGCTGCGGTGTCCTGTCCCTGGCCAGGAGGACGTGGGATGCTCTGTGCTGGACCAACCGACGTGTCTTTCACTAGGTCCTCAATGACCAGCCTCTGGATGCGCAGCTGCAGCGTTGGTCTCTAGCTCCCTGTGTCCTCTCCTCTTTCATAAGCTCTGGGGCTCCTTCTGACTTCCCAACTGGCCCTGCCTTCCATCAGAGCAGAAGGTAGCCGTGTTAGTTAGGGTCCTTTGGGCTGGAAACAAAGTTGATTCGGAATGACATGCATAAAAGGTGGGCGATTTCTTATTAAGACGGGACCACCCAACACTTGTGCACAACAATTTGGTATCCTTTTAAAATACATTTTTTGTGTATTCTGTGAATATTCCTTTTTTTTTTTTTTTTTTTCTTCAGTAGAAAGCTCATCTCTGCATGGGGGGGATGGCTGAGGAGTACTGGGTCTATGCTCGGTTGTCCAAAGCAACTACACTTTTGGCCGCTAGGATTCATACCCACTGGGGAAAACAAAAGCCCTGTAATTAATAAGCTACCCTCCTCTTCTTTGTAAAATCCTATGGTTTGGTGTGACCCTGTTGTTCAAATAAACCTTCTGATGGAGTCTCCCCCTACTGGCTACTCAGAGTACTGCTTCCAACTGTTTGTAATAACTTCTCCCTGGAGCAGGTCAGGCTATCACTGTTTTCTCCAGCTTACTGTATTTCCAGTGGTGTTCCTACACTCCTTATAGATCATGTGTGCTGGTAAGGAGCCTCTTACAGGAATACAAAAATGCCCCAAGAATCCAAAGGGAGAATGCCATCAGACCGCAGGAAGGACTGTGACCAAGAAATGAGAAGTCACGGGCGGGTTTTCCCTCTGGTCTCTGCAGTTCTCTCTGTTTTGCTTCCTTCTTTGTTATTTTCCTGAATTTTTTTTTTCTAGTTCTCTGGCCCATGTGGCAGAATATGGCCAGCACTGCTCCAGCCTTCATGTTTACAGGTCTTGTTCCAGCAACTTCCAAATTCCTGGAAGAAAGACAGTTATTGAAGCAGCTTGGTGAAGCTAGGGCTCTCAGCCGCCTGTGGGGTGGGAGACAGTCCCGGGTAGTACGGGGATATCTCCCAGGGCCCCTGCCACGGGGAACAAGGGCGTTTACCCCAAAGTGGGCCCACCAAGCTGGCTCTCTCTGCCAGGCTAGATATCTTCCAGAGTCAGAGGGCACAAAGTCAGAACTCTGTTCTGTTTGAAAGGGTGAGGAACCAGAGATAGATCCCTGTCCCCAAACAGTCTTTATTGACTCTGACTGTGAGTCATGGTGTGGCCTAACTCTGTTAGAGTGCCGTCCCTTAGCAGGTGAGCTCGCTCGCACGCACATTTACTCTCCTACCCGAATCCACCCCAGGTGCTTCAATAAACACAACTGAATGTTTGTTAGCAAATCTGAAGCGGCTGATTGTGAGCTGTTCCTCTCTTCCTTGCCTAAACTGACCTGCTCCAGCTTATCAGGACAGTGCATCCTTTGGGGTGCATGTCTTGACTTGATGTGGAAAGTGAGTGGAAACATGTCGTTTGCTTGCCTGTCCTTGTCACGACTGCGCCACCAACCAACGCACCGTGCATATCAGACACCCGACGAATAGGGTCCTAATCTGGAAGACTTTAGAGTCTTGAAAACAGAGTTTGCTGGAAGGCTCATCCCAGCAAGAAGTGACACCCTGCTTCTCCCGTTTTCCACTGTTTGTTTTTTCCCTTGTTTTTTTCCTTTTTTTCCTCTTTCAGACCCGCCTTGAGGAGGAACTGCTCGTCGGGGGCTTGTGACACGTGTTGGCGCACAGGCCCCTGGAGGCCCTGCACGGCAGCCTGCGGCCGGGGCTTCCAGTCTCGGAAGGTCGACTGTGTCCGCACGAGGAGCTGCAGACCCGTGGTGGAGAGACACTGTGTGCAGAAAAAGAAACCAGCTTCCTGGCGGCACTGCCTTGGGCCTTCCTGTGATAGTACGTACCCCTCGCAGGTACCGTCACTGGTGGCAGCCCTGCCCCAGCCAGACCCCAGGGGCGCTCACCTTGTTGGTGTCGCGGCTGACCGGCCATTCGGGACGCAGGTGACATCCTGGGACGTTAGGAGATGAGCAGCTTTGCTGTGGGTGGGCCTCGGCATTCTTTCGAGAAGAACAGTAGAATCAGCTGGGTGTCGGCGGCACTGACCATGACGGAGTCCCCTTCTGCCCAGAGGGAGGTCTCGTCTGCTACGATAGGGATTCTTTTCTTTTTTTCCCGTTACTATTTTTTTAAATTTATTATTATGTCCAATTAGCCAGCATATAGTCCATCATTAGTTTTTTGATGTAGTGTTCAGCGATCCACGAGTTGAGTAAAACACCCCGGGCTCATCACCACACGTGCCCTCCTTGATAAAAATTTGACATAGGTGTTTATATTATTATTATGATATTATATATATTATAATATATGTGTTCATATACACATATATTTTATATGTGTATGTATATTATAATTGTTATCTTATTTTTACAAAACTTCATCATAAATATATTTTGCTAGGGAGCAGGTCCATCGCTTTTATCAGTCTTCCAAGGGGTCCTCGCCGCCGCTGTTCTCAGCACTGCGAGGAGGAGTGTGGGCCCCAGAGAGCAGGGTGAGGCCACTTGGCCTGGCTGAGAAGTGAGCCCCGTGTGCTTCTGGCTCAGGTGCAGGGCCGTGCCTCTAACCCAAGCCTAGTGGGGTTGCTTGTCAATGTTTTTTTATTTGAGTCCGGCTGACGCACAACATTGCAACAGTTTCAGGTGTAAGACGTAGTGATTGAAGAGCTCTCTCCGTGATGCTGGGCTGCCCACAAGTATAGCTGCCAGCCGTCCCCGCCCGGCCCCCCGCCCGGCCCCGCCCATCCCCCGCCCGTCCCCGCCCGTCCCCGCCCGGCACTGTCACAGTGCCCCCGACTGTATTCCCTGGGCCACAAATCCAAGCCCAGTTTCTGCAGCTCACTCTGGGATTGCAGTGTAGGCTTGTCATAAACTCAAAGGTTTTTTTTATTTTTTAATTTTTTTTAACTCTGTCTCTAATGAGCTGTGTGTTCGATGGATGTCTTTTTTTTTCTTTTTGGCAGGACACTGCTCAGACACGGCTCACTACTGTATGTTTGTAAAGCATCTCAGTTTGTGTTCGCTAGATCTCTACAAACAGAGGTGCTGCCAGTCTTGTCAAGAAGGGTAAGCCTGTGGCCGGGGGTCGTAACGCTGCTGTGAAGACAGAGCCGAAACGTATAGAAGCTCTCTTCCCCCATGTGGCTGGTTCAGAAACGTGTGATTTCTCTTAGAACTCTAGATTCCGCCTTCAGGGGTCGGTGCAAACTCACCACTGGTGGGACGTCGTCCTATTGCTTTCCCCGTGGCCCGTTTTCAATCCCAGCTCTTTGAGGTGATCTATTCCGGGACCATCAGAAATACCGTAGCAGGCGTGCCCTTGCCCTTGGCACCCTCCCCATGTCCTTCCAATCAGGAAACTGCCCAGATCCCCGGTGTGTTGTCACAGGCTGCTTGTCCTGTGACAGGTAGACCCGCGGAGGGTAGGACGTCCTGAAGACATGAGGGACACACAGCCGCCGATGACTTCCTCTTCTCTCGAGTTTTGGGGTTTCAACAGGTTTGTAAGGCAGCTACACTTTAGAAGCTCTGGCCAGTAGTTGTTAAGATGGTGTGAAGGGCGCTAGTGCATTTTTATGGGTCCTTAAGTCTGGTCTGTGAAGAAGAGGCCTTCGTTCTGGACGGGCTCACTGCACTGACTGATCCGAGGACCCTGGGGGTGAGGAGGGTGGTGGTGGCATCTTGTTCTTGCTCTTACAGAACCTGGGGACAAGGCACAAACTAAATGTTGCTGCCATTTTCACAACCATGGGGATCTATCTGTGACCAAATGAGGTGTCTCGGAAATCAAAGGTGAGGGAAAGTTCACCTTTTCTACTGATTTTGAGGTGTATTCAAAGCTTTCTCTTAAGAGCTGTGAATGAAATTTTCCTAAGCACTATTCTCTTGCACACACGCAGAAAATCGAAGCCTTGTTAGACCTAATTTATGCATAAAATAATACTCCTGAGGATTTTTTGTTTCAGGATTTTTATTTCTTATAATCCTAAAGATTATGAGAAAGTCATCTAAATAGGAAACATGGTGGTTGAAAAGAATTGTTTACCGTGAATAATTGTTTTAATTCAGACCGATTTGTTGGTAAATCCAAAGTGAATGTGGGTTAGGCTAGAAGTTACAGGAGGGCTAGGGGTCAGAGTTAGGATTTGGTGAGTAAGTTTAGGGTTCATTTTAGTTTTAGGACCGGGTGAGGGGAGAGTGGAAGGTTATGTGAGGGTTAAGGCGAGAGTTGATGTTGGCGGTTAGCGAGAAGGCCAAGTTGGGTTGCCTTGGGTCACATTCAGACTGGGGTCAGTGCTGGTGATGGTACCGTGTCCGGGTGGAGGGTAAATTGGGAGTAAATTTTTTCTGCTGAAGGAGTCTGGGACTTGCGTGAAATTGTGACGTTCCGACGCTCATTCGGTTCTGGAGCACTTCCCCTGACATCCCACTGGTCATGGCTTTCAATGGCACACGACCCAAGGATGCGGCCATCCTTCCTCGGTCAGCATTCTAGCTGCCTGCGCACACGCTGCTGACAGCCCGTTGGCCACGGCAGCACCTGAAGCAGGTGGTGCTGGACCAAGTCCCTGATCACGAAGAAGCAAACAGCACGTTTGGGCTTTGGATTTGTCTGAGTCTCTCTGCCATATGTTCTGAGCACCAGCTGTCGTGTTCTAACTTCAGCCTCACTGACACTGACAATGAGCACTACTGTACGCGGAGGGTTTGGTGGCCGGGACGGAGGGGGACGTGAAGGGCACACACAGCCTGTGGGGTGTTAATCATCAGTCACACTTGATTGTGGAAGGTTTTTAAATTAAAAGAAAGATCATTTGTAAAATAGTCTTTGTATATATTTATTATATGACTTAAAGGTGCAATATTTTGTACAGTATGTAATAAAGACGTGGGACATATATTTTTTTTCTTATCAACAAAATTTCCTATTAAATTGCTTCACCTTGGTGTTTAAAGTTCAAGTCGCTATCTTTCATTTGCTATTGTACTTTCGTCTTGGTATTGTTCAAGTGACATTCCTGTGTACTGTATTTTACTACTGTTTCTATAATATAAGAGTTAATGTTTCTTTCATGACCCTTAAGTAATTCAGAAATAAATTTACTTTGATTATTTAGTGGCATCCGCATGAATGTGGGTGGCTTATTTGTGTCATTGCTGGAAGCCTTGGCCACTGTCACCTTGGCTGCCTCCTTGGGAGTCCAGGAGCGGACCTGATGGGCTCGCTGGCCTGGCCTGTGACGTGTGGGAGATGAGGTTCAGGGCAGATCACTCAGAGATTCCCTCTGACTCCCTTGTCCCAGTCGTTTACACCCCGGGGACTGTAGTTAATGTCAAGGACAGAGGGGCTGGAAAGGAGTCCCAGATGGACAGCCCGAGACAGGCGTAGAAGTAGGTCATAGTAGGAGAGCAGGAGGTACTAACTGGGGCCGTTAGGAGGAGTTTAGGGACTGCCTTGAGATGTCTGCGCCCAAACACGTTTTGGCAGCAGCTGGTGAGTAAGCCCTTCCTCTGTGTTCCAACCATGTGTATAATGCTTCAAGATCGACAGCGAGTCTTTACAGACAACATTCATGTCATTGAACTTGAGGTTCCCCTCCATTTGTCTCGGGCCTTGGAGTTTCTAAGGTCATTTGTTGAAGAAAAATCAATCATTGTACAGTTACTTGTGAGACTGTTAACCTCATGAGGGTGAGCCACATGGGAGATGAGCAATCGAACACCTCAGATGTCTAAAAGTGTAGTTTTATCTTCCCTCCTTCCCTCCTCCCTTCCTTTTCTTTTTCTTTCTCTCTCTTTCTTTCCCTTCCCTCCCTCCCTCCTTCCTCTTTTCTTTTCTCTTTTCTTCCCTTTTGTTCTCTCTCTCCTCTCTCTTTCTCTCTCTCTCTCTCTCTCTCTCCCTCTCTCAAACTAAGGCCTACGTGGGTTACAAGGAGTGGAGAGCATTACCGAGAGAGAGGAAATATGGGAGATGTCATTTCCAACTTGGAGAAATTTCCGTAGGAACTCCCCACTATTTTCTTGGCAGTCTGAAATACTTCATGATCTTCAGTAACTATGCAAGAATACTGAAAAATCCAGATTCTCCTCTCTAGGCACTAATGTAAGGCTTGGGTCCTCTCATTTACAGTGTGATGGGGTAAATACCCAAATACTCTATTTCTTACATATCAACTAGGAAAAAGGTGAAAAAGTCATTCTAGGAAAGTATAAGGAGAGATTATCCCCAGGCTTTTCTTCGTAATAACAAAGGATAGGAGAAGTTTGCAACAAGCCCTAATTCCCAAGTACAAAGAGAGGAAAGGTTTCATCAGGACAGGGATGCCAGCACGGCTCTTCAATTCAGGATGGTTCCCCCTGTCAAGCTTTGGGCGACATTCTGCAGCTCTTTACTGGACCCAGAGCTCTGCCAAGGCGTGAGCATCATCCAGTCCCTGGCATCTAACATATTATCAGTTGTGCAGAATGGGACCTCAAAAATTATAAGCAAATTTATCGATAGATGGTGGATGGATGGCTAGATTTGAAAAGACAAACCTAATGAGCCAGGCAGAACAAGTCAAACCATTTTTTTAAGCTTCTTATACTGAGATGACTAAGATATATGGAAGAGTTACAAAAGCACCACAGGGAATTCTGGTATCCCCTTCACCTAACTTAACCTTAACATGTTACATAGCCAAATACAGTGATTAAAACTCAGAAATTGCTACTGGCACAAGAATAGACACATAGATTAATGAAACAGAACAGAAAACCCAGAAATGGACCCTCAACTCTATGGCCAACTCATCTTCCACAAAGTAGGAAAGAATATCCAGTGGAAGAAAGAGAGTCTCTTCAATAAATGGTGTTGAGAAAACTGGACAGCCACATGCAGAAGAGTGAAACTGGACCACTTTCTTACACCAGACACAAAAATAAACTGAAAATGGATTAAAGACCTAAATAAGACACCTAAAACTATTAAAATCCTAGCAGAGAACATAGGCAGTAACTTCTTCGATGTTGGCCATAGCAACTTCTTTCTAGATCTGTCTCCTGAGGTAAGGGAAACAAAAGCAAAAATAAATTAATGGGACTTCATCAAAATAAAATTTTTTGCACAGTGAAGGAAATAATCAACAAAACTAAAAGGCAACCTGTGGAATAGGAGAAGATATTTGCCTATGACATATCTGATAAAGGGTTAGTATCCAAAATATATAAAGAACTTATAAAAACTCAACACCCCAAAAATGAATAATGCAATTACAAAATGGTCAGAAGAAATGAACAGACATTTCTCCAAAGAAGACATCCAGATGGCCAACAGACACATGAAAATATGCTCAACATCACTCATCATCAGGGAAATGCAAATCAAAACTACAGTGAGATATCACAATTCACAGCGGTCAGAATGGCTAAAATCAGCAACACAAGAAACAATAAATGTTGGCGAGGATGTGGAGAAAGGGGAACCCTTTTGCACTGCTAGTGGGAATGCAACTGGTGCAGCCACCGTGGAAAATAGTACAAAGGTTCCTCGGAAAGTTAAAATTAGAACTATCTGATGATCCAGCAAATGTACTACTAGGTATTTACCCAGAGAATACAGAAATACTGATTCAAAGGGGGCACATGCAACCCAATGTTTATAGCATCATTATCTACAATAGCCAAATTATGGAAACAGCCCAAGTGTCCATGGACTGATGAATGGATAAAGAAGGTGTATCATATATATATAATGGAATATTATTCAGCCATAAATAAAGAATGAAATCCTGCCACTTGCAATAACATGGATGGAGCTAGAGAGTATTATGCTAAGTGAAATGCCAATCAGAGAAAGACAAATACCATATGATCTCACTCATATGTGGAATTTAAGAAACAAACAAATGAGCAAAGGACAAAAAAAGAAGGAGAGAGGGAGGCAAGCCCAGAAACAGACTCTTAACTCTAGAGAACACACGGCTGGTGACCCAGAGGGGAGGTGGGTGGGGGAGGGGAAAGAGGTGATGGGGATGAAGGAGGGCACTTGTCCTGATGAGCACCGGGTGAGGTATGGAAGTGTTGTACACCTGAAACTAATATTACACTGTATGTGAACTGGAATTTAAATAAAAACTTAAAAAAAAACAACAACAAGAAATCGACATTGGTATAACACTATTAACTGCAGACT